CTTACCCAAGGTATGAGAGGAGTTATGACTTCTAACCCAGATTCCAGGAGTTAGTGACACATAACCAAATTCCAGAAATGACAGGGCCCACATGCCTGCAGATACTGCTAAATCTTTAGGTCTTGGGGCCCCTTGGGACAGCCACTCATTCCTTTTTCCTTTTTGTGCCAGTACTGTGGCTTGAACTTGTGCTCTCAATTGGCTTTTCACTCATAGGTAGCATTCTGCCACTTGAGCCATGCCTCCAGCTCTGCTTTTTTTTTTTGGTTGGTCATGGGGCTTGAACTCTGGTCCTGAGCACTATTCCTCAGCCCATTGGCTCAAGGTGAGCACTCTTCCAGTTGAGCCATAGCACCACTTCCAGTCTTCTCATGGTTAACTGGAGATATGTCTCACAGACTTTCCTGCCCAGGCTGGCTTTGAACCACGATCTTCAGATCTCAGCCTCTGAGTAGCTAGGAATATAGGCATGAGCCACTGGCACCTACTTCCAGCTCTGCTTTTTGTTGGTTAATTGGAGATGAGAGCGCCATAGACTTTTCTGCTAGGGCTGGCTTCAAACTGCAATCCTCAGATCGGTTTCCTGAGTAGCTAGGATTACAGGCATGAGCCACTGGCACCCAGCTGTCACTCATTCCTGAAACTGCCTGTTGTCAAGTCTTTGAGTGCATGTCTGCTCTGCATTAATAAACCCTGCTCCAGCTAATTCTCCCATTTCCAATCTTGAGTTCTTTCTCTAAAAAGAACTTCCAGCTCAGCCTCTGTAACCTGGATCCTGCTCCAAAAGGACCTTGTAACCCTGTGAGCCAGGGATACATTCTTACTTGGGGAAGGACAGCATATCTTGAGGTTCATCTAACCCAGGACCTGCCCAGTGGGTTGCACATATAACTTTATATGCTGAATGCCCCCCCCCCCCAAATAGGGACATTTCAGGGTTAAAGTTCAGGTCTCCACTTCCTCAAATCCAGAACTCCACTTGCACTGAGACACATTTCTACCTGACAGAAGTTAGGTGTTTTACAGAGACACCCCTTTAAACCTGACCCCTTGCTAAGGCATCATTTACTTCACCCTTTTTTTGTTACACGTCATCCCCATTACATGGGACCCCAAGTAATCCAGCTTCTCCTTTTACAGATCGAGACGATGACCCCAGAGCTAAGGTTAGTTAGTATTCTGGTTAGTCAAGCGCTAGTAAGAGTGCCAGGCACTGGTGGCTCATGCTTGTAATCCTAGTTACTCAGGAGTCTGAGATTGGGACTGACGCCTGAAGCCTATGCAGGCAGAAAATGTCCCATAAGACTCTTATTGCCAATTACCCAGAAAAAAAAAAAATGGAGGTGGAGCTGTGGCTCAAGTGGTAGAGTGCCAGCCTTGGATGAAAAAGCCAAGAGATTGGACTGGGAAGGTGGCTCAGTGGTAGAGTGCTTGTCTTGCATGCCTGAGGCCCTGGGTTTGATTCCTCAGCACCACATAAGAAAAAAGCAAAAAGCCGGAAGTGGCGCTGTGGCTCAAGCGGTAGAGCACTAGCCTTGAGCTGAAGAGCTGAGGGACAGCGCCCAGGCCGAGTTCAGGCCCCACGACCGGACCCGAAAAAAAAAAAAGCCAAGAGAGAACTCCAGGCTTTGAGTTCAAGTCCCAGTACCTGTACCTATGTGTATGCACACATCTGTGCACACACAGAGCCAGTAAGAGACAAAAGCTGGAATCATTGTTTCCTGAAACAGTCTGGATTCCCTCTTTTTCCAGTTTGCTTTTTAGCAAGGTAAGGTGTTCCTACAGACCATGTAATGAGGTTTGGCTGTTGGTCATCATGAGTCTCTAGCCTTTTCTCTGCTTGTTTTGGATTTCTTGCTTATAGCAGTATTAGGATTTGAGCTCAGGGCTTGCTAGGCTGGCATTCTCCAACTGACATCACACCTCCAGCCTACCTTTTTGGAGTCTCTTGGACTTTTATATCCAGGCTAGCTGATTCTTAGATCTTAGCCTCCTCAGTAATTAGGATTACAGGTGTGAGCCACTGGTGCCTGGCTAACTTATGTGTAGGTTTTAAATCAGTTTTTGTAGTGTGAGGATTAAGTAATCTTGTACATGCCAGCAGAGTGTTGTGCTACTGAACTACTCCCTCAGCCATGTTTCTTTTTTGTGTATGTATGTATGTGTGTCTATCAATAGTATGGAAGAATAGATTCTTCCATTTTATTACTGTTATTTTGTGGCTCAAATTGTCCCAGGCTTGATGCATGGAAAAAGGTGTTGAGACTCCATCTCCAAACTTAACAGAAAGCTGGAAGTGTGGTCTAAATGATGGCCCTGAGCTCAAGATCCTGAGTCCATGGGGCTGGGAAGGTGGCTCAGTGGTAGAGTGCTTGCCTTGCATGCCTGAGGCCCTGGGTTCGATTCCTCAGCACCATATAAGAAAAAAGCCGGGAATGGCGCTGTGGCTCAAGTGGTAGAGTGCTAGCCTTGAGCTGAAGAGCTGAGGGATAGCGCCCAGGCCCAGAGTTCAGGCCCCACAACTGGACCCAAAAAAAAAAAAAAAAAAAAGATCCTGAGTCCAAACTCCAGTATTGCTAAAGTCTTTTTTTTTTTGGTCGGTTGTGGGGCTTGAACTCTGGGGCTGGGCGTTGTCCCTCAGCTCTTCAGCTCAAGGCCAGCGCTCTACTGCTTGAGCCACTTCCAGTTTTCTGGTGGTTTATTGGAGATAAGAGTTTCACGGACTTTCCTGCCCAGGCTGGCTTTGAACCACAATCCTCAGATCACTGCCTCCTAAGTAGCTAGGATTACAGGCGTGAGCCACCAGTGCCCGGCTGATAGTCTTGCTATAATACTTAGGCTTGCTTTGAACAAGCCTCACAAAGAGCTGGGACTACATACAGGTACATACAGGTATGCACTACCCGCAGGTTGTCTCGTATTCATGCCAGGTCCTCAGGCATGCTAACCATATTCTCTAGCCACCCCTAATCCCTTGGCTAATTTTAAATGTGCTTTGGAGGCTCAAAGGAGTCAGTAACAAAAGACATTTAGAAGAACTGACACTTGAGCTTGAAGAATGGAAAAGTAGAGAACCAAAAGGGAATTTTAAGGACAGCTGGGCAGGCGGTGTGAAGGAAGAACAAGGTCTGTTGTGGGAAAAGGAGTCCACTGCAGCTTCAATTTATTGCACAGGCTGGCTTTTAATCTGTCTTCCAGATCTCAGCCACCTGAGCAGCTAAGATTCCATCTGCTTTAAATTATTTCCTTCATTGTAAAACTGTGGGGTTTTTTTCAGGGGGGGGGTGGTAGAGTGGGGAGGGGTACTGGTAATTGGACCTAGGGCCTTACATATGCTAGTCAAGCACTCTGCCACTTAAGCTACTCAGCCGTGTGTGTGTGTGTGTGTGTGTGAGTGTGCGTGTGTGTGCACTGGTATGAGCATTTGCCTGTACTGGGGCTAGAAACCCAGGGCCTGGGCCCTCTCCCTTAGATTTTTTTTTTTGGTCAGCCTTGGGGCTTGAACTCAGTGCCTGAGTGCTGTCTGTGAGCACTTTTCCTCAAGGCTAGCCCTCTACCACTTTGAACCACAGCTCTCCTTCCAGTTTTCTGGTGGTTAAGTAGAGACTAGAGTTCCAAAGACTTCCCTGCTAGGGTTGGCTTTGAGCCCCAGCCTTAAGATCTAAGCTGGCTTGAATAGCTTGGATTATATGTGTGAGTCACCTATAATGGACAGTCCTGGGGCTTGAACTCTGGGCCTAGGCACTGTCCCTGAGCGTCTTTTGCTCAAGACTAGCACTCTACCACTTGAGCCACAGCAACACTCACAGCTTTTTCTGTTTATGAGGTACTGAGGAATGGAACCTAGGCTTCATGAATGTTAGGCAAGCACTCTACCACTAAGCCACATTACCACTAAGCCACATTCCCAGTACACCCCCACCTCCCACCTTTTTTTGTTGTTGTTGTTCAAAGCTGTTGCTATGCCATGGGAGCCACAGTTCTACTTCTGGCTTTCTTGGTGGTTAATTGGAGATAAGAGCCTCATGGACTTTCCTCCCAAGGCTGGCTTCAAATCGTGATCCTCAGATCTGAGTCTCCTGAGTAGCTAGGATTGCAAGCATCAGCCACTGGCATCTAACTTACTGCCTTTTTTTTTTTTTTGGCCTGGGCTGGAGCTTGAACTGACGGCCTGGGTGCTGTTCCTGAGCCTTTGTGCTCAAGGCTAGTGCTCTAGCTCTACCGGCTTTTTCGGAGTAGTATTTTGGAGGTAAGAAGAGTCTCCTTGACTTTTCTGCCCGGGGTTGGCAGAACGGCCATCCTCAGATCTCAGCTCCCTGAGTGGCGAGGGTTACAGACGTGAGCCACCGGCGCCTGGCAATGCTACCTTGTTGAGGGCTCACTGTCGCGCGTGGTCAAGCCACAATTTAGGTTTAAGGGCCACGGGAACTTAATTCAGAAATGGGCACACACATCTGTGTGGCAGGATGAGCACGTTCAAACTGATCACTCACTAATCTTTTACGTGCAGCAGACAGTGAAGGGACGAGCTCCTCCGGAGGCCTGCTACCTGGCTGCGTGAACAGCTACCGGTGTGTGTGTGGGGGGGGGGGGGGGGGGGAGGTCTTTTTCTTGGCGGAAGAGCTTTACGCTATGACGTACGCCTCACACCACAGCGGAAGAATCCTGACGTGACGCCGGCGGCGTGGGCGTGGCCACCGGATCTTCCTCTCGGCCGCCTTGGGCTCCTCCCCTCGCGTTTCATACACGCTCATTGTGAAGCGACGGCCGCCGCCCGCGTCTAAGGCTGCCTGAGACCTAGAGACTCTAAACTTGGCGCGCGTTGAGCGCGCCCGCGCTACTCCTTACCTACCTGAAGGGCCGGGGGGCGGGGCGCGAGGTTCACCGACTTCCTCCTCTCCCTCCCCCCCACTCCCACCGGAGCCAACCGCCCGGTCGCCTCACGCCGCGCTCCCGCCTCGCGCCCCTCCCCTTGCGGAGCGCCCGCCCGCTCCTCCCCCGCCCGCCTCCCGGCGACGCGCACGCGCGCCAGGCCCGACGCGCACCCTCTCGCTTTCCTCCGGCCCGTGAGACCCCCTCCCCTTCCGCCTCGCGGCGCTCCCTCGCGCCGCGGTCTTCTCTACCTATCCCCGGCTCCGCGGGGCTCCCCCCCCCCCCCCCGGCCCGCCCGCCAACGGCGGGTCCCCGGCTTCCCGATCCCCTCCGCTTCCCGCGCTCCCCGGCGGGGCTCCAACCCCGGCCCCCTCTCTCCCTCCCTTCCCTCTTCATTCCCTTTCCGGACGCTGCCATCATGTTGAAGCCTCAGCCGCCACAACAGACCTCCCAACCCCAGCAGCCGCCCCCCACGCAACAGGCCGTAGCCCGCCGGCCTCCCGGCGGCACCAGCCCTCCCAACGGCGGCCTCCCGGGGCCGCTGGCCGTCACGGCGGCTCCGCCGGGGCCTCCCGTCACCGCCTCCCCCTGCCTGGGGCCCGCGGCTGGGAGCGGGCTGCGCCGGGGAGCCGAAGGCATCTTAGCGCCGCCGCCGCCGCCGCCGCATCAGGAGAGGCCGGGGGCCGCCGCCATCGGCAGCGCCAGGTGAGGAGGGCGGGCTTCCGGGTGGGGGAGCCGGGCTGCCGGCAGGAGGCGGCGGCGCGGTTCCGGTGGGGCGCGCCCCCAGCCCGGCCCGGCCCTCGGCAGCGGGCGCCGGGCGTGAGGAACCCCGGGAAGCCGAGGGGAGGCTCCCCTGGGCGTCCCAACAGGTTGGAGAGAAAGGGTGGTGGGTCGCATCCGGGATCCCGGAGCCGCGCTCGGTTCCCGGGGGCCTCGCCCGGGCCGCGGCCCCGTGGGGAGGCGGGGCGCGTCCTGCCAGCATCGCGGGCACGGGGCGTTGGGGGGGCGAGGAGGTGATCGGGGTCCCCGGCTCCATTACCACGGAGGGGTCTCGCGGTCCCTGGCTGCAGCCAATGAGGTGTCAGCTCCGGGAAGGGGTCCCCGGCTCTGGCCAATGGAGGGGGGCGCGCGGCCCACAGTTTGGCCAATGGGGAGGGAGGGACTTGGAGCGGGTTGCTCCCTCCCCCTTCCCGGTCTGGCCAGTAAGAGGGGAGCCGAGTGGGCGGGGGCGCGGAAGGAGGGACGGCGGGGAGGACTGCGGGCTGGGAACCTCCGGCGCGCGCGCGCGCCCTTGGCCTACGTGCGCGCGGATGCTCCGTCTTGTGACCCGGGCATATCCGTGTCCCGGTCGCGCGTAGGGCTGGGGCCGGTAGTGTGCATGGAAAGGTGCGTCCGGTGTTGGCGGGCGAGGAGCGCACCGTTCCGTGGGGTGGTGTGCCAATGCGATTGCGAGCGGCGGTGCACACGCAGGCGCAGTGGGTCGTTTTCGCGGGATGGGGGGGGGGGGGTTGAAGAGGCCCCCGTGGGCTTTAGTGCGCAGGCGCAGACCGGGCGAGGCCTCCCGGTGGATGGCTTTTGCGGCTGCGCTGTCCCCCGGCCCCGCCAACGGCCCCCTCGCCGCCCTCCTCAACCGCCGGTTACATCAGCCATCGAGGAGCAGTGTTACCTGGCGATCGGTGACCCCTGCAGTGTGGGTAACAGGCCGAATGAATAATGACGGTGAAAGGGTGGAGTGTGGAGGGAAATACCCCTCCTCTCAGGGTTGAGGACCCAAGGTTGCCGAAAATGGTTTGTTCCTTTTAGGAGGTAATGTGCCTGAGCTAAGTAGCTGTGCATCTGCACCTCTGAGCTTTTCACCTTCCCGGTCCGGAGCGGGTTACTGCTTCTTAGAATACTGTGGCATCGGTCCGTAGAATACTGTGGCATCGGTCCGTAGAAACAGTCAACCCTGGCCTGTTGAAGAAAGTGAGCAGGCTGTTGTATTGGCTTTTAGAGCAATTGACAGCCATTTGTTGGTTTAGGGTTTTGTTTTTTTTTAACTGTCATTTGTAGGAAATGTTTTATCATTTAATGCCCACTCCTTCATTTACATGAGAGATTGGAAACCTTATTGACTAAACAACTTCATGATAGGTGCTTTTGGGATTTACCATTAATGACCCTTTTTTTTTTTTTCCTTACAGGGGACAGAGCACAGGAAAGGGACCCCCACAGTCACCCGTGAGTGCCTTTTTTTCTGCTTGTATAAAATACGAAGAACTAAATAATATTCATATGGATATATAAGGCATGCTAGATGCAGTGATAGACAAATGGGCTAGCAAGAATTGTGGTTCAGCCTGACAAGGGAGCTGTGAGTGGTCGTTTAGAAAGTTGGCGTTTGCTGGCTGCTTCTTTATTTCCTCTCCATCTGATGTTACCGACAGGTGTTTGAAGGTGTCTATAATAATTCCAGGATGCTGCATTTCCTGACAGCTGTGGTGGTAAGTAAGGACTTTAATCCCTAGGGTGATTGAGGAATGAGATCCATGAGATTTTTGGAGTCTTCTCACCCTTCCCACCCTCCTAGGGCTCCACTTGTGATGTAAAGGTGAAGAATGGCACTACCTATGAAGGCATTTTCAAGACTCTGAGCTCAAAGGTCAGTTTACTCAAGTTGGCGTATTTTTGGAATTGCATGGAAGAAGAGAGTGAAACTGAAGATGTATTAAAGAAAAACTATCAGACAATACTTTGACCATTCTTGTAGACCTTAAGTTTTTTAGTTAAAATTTTAAGTTTGAGATTTTTTTTTTCTTTTTTTCTAAACCCTGTAGTTTAGTGGAGCATACAGGGCATGTGAGAATGTAGTATTGGGAAAGAGTAAAAGGGTAAAAGGGAAATAATCATAGTTTTGCATTTATATTTCTTAATACTGACCTATGTTTGTTGGGCAATGTTGCTTTTGTAGTTTGAGCTGGCAGTAGATGCTGTGCACCGGAAAGCATCTGAGCCAGCGGGTGGCCCTCGTCGTGAGGACATTGTAGACACCATGGTGTTTAAGCCAAGTGATGTCATGCTTGTCCACTTCCGAAATGTTGACTTCAATTATGCTACTAAAGGTATTGTGCTAGGCTGTGGTGACAGATCAACTCTGTGGGTAGAGGGAAGTCTTTTTTTTTTTTTGGCCGTGGGGCTAGAACTCTGGGTTGGGTGCTGTCCCTGCGCTCTTCAGCTCAAGGCAAGCGGTCTACCGCTTGAGCCACAGCACCACTTCAGGTTGTCTTGTGGTTAATTGAAGTTAGAGTCTCATGGACTTTCCTTTCAGATCAGGCTTTGAACTGCAATCCTCAGATCTCAACCTCCTGAGTAGCTAGGATTACAGGCGAGAGCCACCAGTACCTGGCTGAATCTGGTAGTTTTTTTTTGTTTTGTTTTTTTGATCGTCGTGGTGCTTGAACTGTGGGCCTGGGAGCTGTCCCTCAGCTCTTCAGCTCAAGGTGCTCACTCGACCACATGAGCCATGGCACCACTTCCAGTTTTCTGGTGGCTTATTAGAGATAAGAGTCTCTTTCCTGCCCTGACTGGCTTTGAACTGTGATCCTCAAATCTCAGCTTCCTAAGTAGCTAGGATTACAGGCATGAGCCACTGCTGCCCGGCCCTGGATTTTTTTGTTTGTCTTTGTTTTTTTTGTTTTTTTTTTTTTTGGGGGGGGGGGGGTCAGTTGTTAGGCTTGAACTCTGGGCCTAGGCACTGTCCCTGAGCTCTTCAGCTCAAGGCGAGCACTCTACTACTTGAGCCACAGTGCCACTTCCTGCTTTTTTCTTTTTGCTTATGTGGTGCTGAGGAATCGAACCCAGGGCCTCATGCATGCAAGGCAAGTGCTCTACCACTGAGCCACTTTGCCAGCCCCCTGTTTTCGTTTCTTAACTACTTATGGGAGTAGTGTTGTTGGAGTGAGACTGAGAGGCAAGAAAGCTGTCAGGTACCACCTGACTTCTGATTATCTACTCTGCTCCACAGACAAGTTCACTGATTCAGCCATTGCTATGAACTCAAAGGTAAACGGCGAGCACAAAGAGAAGGTGCTTCAGCGCTGGGAGGGTGGTGACAGCAACAGCGATGACTATGATCTCGAGTCTGACATGGTATAGTCTCCCTTCCTGAGCAACGGGGTAGCCAGAGTATGGGGGTTGTTGGCAGTGAGATTCCTTCTTTGTACCAGGTGATGATGGTTAGAAAAGAGGAGGAGGGGAAATACTGTTGCCTGTTTATAGTACTCAAATACAAAAGTTTAGGAAATATTAAAACAAAGCTTATCAGTGTACTAATGGGGAGTTGATATTTGCTTTGTGGCTTTTTTAAAATTTAAATCAGTACTACAGGTTTAAAAAGTGCCCATTTCTTTTCTTAAAGACAACTACTTTTGACATTTTTTGGTATTCGTTTGCAGAAAATTTTGCTTTCCTTGCCTTGTTGAGCTTTTCGTGTTATACATGGAACTAGTTTATTTTAATTATGAATATACACCAACTTGTATTTATTCTTTGCCTTTTTCTTTTTTTTTTTTTTTTGTCGTTCATGGGGCTTGAACTCTGGGCCCGAGCACTGTCCCTCAGCTGCTCAGCTCAAGGCTCTACCACTTGAGCCACAGCGCCACTCCTGTTTTTCTGAGTGGTTTATTGGAGATAAGAGTTTCACGGGTTTTCCTGCTCAAGCTGGCTTTGAACCGTGATCCTCAGATCTCAGCCTCCTGAGTAGCTAGGATTATAGGCGTGAGCCACTGGCACCCGGCTTGTTCTTTGCCTTTTTGCTGTGTTTTGTTACCATTATTTTGGTATTTATAGATGTCTCACAAGCCAGGTATAGTGGTGCACATTTGTGGGGTTTTTGTTGTTTTTGTTTTTTGCTGGTCCTGGGACTTGAACTCTGTCCTGAGCTTTGTCCCTGAGCTTCTTTGTGCTCAAGGCTAGTGTTCTACCACTTGAGCTACAGTGCTACTTCCATCTTTTTCTGAGTAGTTTATAGAAAATAAGAGTCCCACAGACTCATGGAAGCTGTAATCCTTAGGTCTCAATCTTGTGAGTAGCTAGGATTATAGGTGTGAGCCACTAGCATCTGGCTTGGTGGTACCCTTCTAATTGCAGTACCTAGAAAGCAAAGGCAGGAGGGCAGCTTAGGTTATGTAGAGTTCCAGCCTGGCCTAAGTTGTATAACAGCAAAACCCTAAGTTAAAAACCAAACAGGTAAATAAGTAAAATTTAATAAGTATTGCTATTTTAGAACCACATAAAGTTGCTTAGGCCTTACACCTAGAAATGGGTTTGTTAGGTCCTAGGCCTTCAAACTTCAAGTTTGTGCTACTCATTGGCAGTTCAACTTGATATTGCTCGGGGTTTGGTTCACACTTAAAGTTTTCAATGTGATGGAAGAAAATGGCTTGTCAAATATTCCTTTCCCTTCGGATTTCAAACGTTCCCCATTTTCCCCTCCTTAGTCCAATGGATGGGACCCCAATGAAATGTTCAAATTCAATGAGGAGAACTATGGCGTGAAGACCACCTATGACAGCAGTCTCTCCTCTTACACGTAAGTGTCTTGGCATTCCTCAGTGGGGCATTGGAGGGTGTGCTCACCAACAGAGAGGATAAATTGCTAGGTAGAATGTAATTTTTTTTTTTTTTGTCCAGTCTTGGGCTTGAACTCAGGGCTTGGACATTGTCCCTGAGCTTCTTTTGCTCAAGACTAACACTCTAGCACTCTACCACTTGAGCCACATCACCACTTCTGGCTTTTTCTGTGGTACTGAGGAATCAAACCCAGGGCTTCATCTATGCTACGCAGGCAAGCACTTTACCACTAAGCCACATTCCCAGCCCTAGTATATAGTTTTTCTGCATGCTTTTATGGGTATACAAGGAACTCTTCGCCTCACTCCTGATCTGCTTTGTGACTTGCTCCCTCAAAGACATTGATCAAGGCACTTTATGCTTATAAACTAATGTTGAATTAACACCCCCTTTATACAACTACTTAAAAGATCATTTTTAAAGGATATAAATAAAAACAAGATTTTCTGACTAGGCCACACTGTGGATAGTGACTTGTTTTCTGTTTACCTGTAGTTTTTCCCTCATATTTATGCATTGTGAACTTTACATTCAGATATATCTTGGTACTTTACCCTGGGACCTAGTAGATGTTAAGTATATGTTGGCTGGGCTGGGGGTGTGGCTCAAGTTAGAGTGCCTCCTTGGCAAGCACAAGACCCTGCGTTCACACCCAGGAGCACTGTGTGAATGAATATATGAATATGCTAACTGTGCTGGGGCAGAGTACTTGCCTAACACTTGTGAAGCTCTGAGTTTGATTCCTAGCACTGGAAAAGAAAAAGTAATGGTTGAAGAAATTAAACACTGGCATATCTGTATCTGTGGGCTTGTTACAAATGCCGATAATGGATGTTCTTTCAGGGTGCCCTTAGAAAAAGACAACTCAGAAGAGTTCCGTCAGCGGGAGCTGCGTGCAGCCCAACTGGCTCGAGAAATTGAGTCGAGTCCCCAGTATCGCCTACGGATCGCCATGGAAAATGAGGATGGGCGCACAGAGGAAGAAAAGCATAGTGCAGTCCAGCGGCAGGGGTCAGGGCGGGAGAGCCCCAGCCTGGCATCCAGGTAATGCATTTGGGCATCTGGAGCTGTTTGGTTCTCACAGTGGGGTCCAAGGACTTGGCTAGCCTGTTGAGCTTTCTCTCCACCCCCTCCCCCCCCCCAAATCCTGGGGCTTGAACTTAGGGTTTGAGCACTGCCAGTGTGATTGTGTCAGGGTTGATGCAATGTAGCTTGAAACCACAGTACATTGAAGTGGGACAGAACTTCAGGTGGGATAGTGAAAGTAGCCAGAGTGAGGAGTGTGTGTGTTGTGTTGCCAAAAATGTGCATTTTATAGCCACTTTTGTCCTTACTTGAACCTTTCTTCAGGGAGGGGAAATATATCCCTTTGCCTCAACGAGTTCGGGAAGGTCCCCGGGGAGGAGTTCGGTGTAGCAGTTCTCGAGGCGGTCGGCCTGGCCTTAGTTCACTGCCACCTCGTGGTCCTCATCACCTAGACAACAGCAGCCCCGGCCCAGGGTCTGAGACTCGTGGTATCAATGGAGGTGAGTTCTGAACCACACTTGGCATAAAAAAAGGAGGATAACAAGAATGTGGGAAGTATAGTAAGTAGGCGGGTTGGGAGGAGATTGAATGCATCAGTGGTGATATAACCACGGGTGCTCTTTTTCCCTTCGCCTTTTTTTTTTGGTTGGTTGTGGGGCTTGAACTCAGCCTGAGCACTGTCCCTCAGCTCTTCAGCTCAAGGTTAGTGTTCTATCTACCACTTGAGCCACAGCACCACTTCCTGCCTTTTTTTTTTAAGGTCCCTCCCGCATGTCTCCCAAGGCACAGCGGCCTCTGAGAGGTGCTAAGACTCTGTCTTCACCTAACAGTAGGCCTTCCGGAGAAGCTTCTGTTCCACCCCCTGCTGCAGGTAAAAGCTTCATCATGCTGGGTGAAGTGGGTGGAAATTTATAGAGACAATTAAATAAGGTGGAATGGTGGAAGGAGCAACAGGTTGAAGATAGATGCCGGAGTGGGGAGAAGTTGAATTTGTTCTATTGGGAAAAGAGTTTTCTCCGTTTCCCTAGAGTATAGAAATTCCAACCTAGCAGATTGTATCTGGCTGGCAGATGTATTTTGTTTAGATTTTAATTTGTTTTCAGCTTATTAGTACAGGAGAAGTCATAGAAATGTCCAATTTTTTTGAAGTGTAGAAAGTTCTGCCGGCACTGATCCTGCATGATAGCAGCCTTTTGGTCTTTCTGGTGCACATTGAGGCCATTTGCCCCTTATGTTATCTGTCTTGGCCTTGTAGACTTTGAGTTTGGGCTCCTAGTATAAGAGATTTGTTAGCTTTTAGAAAGTACCCTGCATTCTCTGCTTATTGACCAGCGGTAACCATCGAACAGCTCTCCCTTTTCTTCCAGTGGGACGGATGTACCCCCCACGCTCTCCCAAGTCTGCTGTCCCTGCCCCAAGCTCAGCTCCTTGTCCTGAGCCTCCCATTGGCTCGGCAGTAGCAACTTCTGCAGCCTCCATCCCTGTCACGTCAGTTGTGGATCCTGGAGCAGGCTCTATCACCCCAGCTTCTCCGAAGATCTCACTGGCCCCCACAGATGGTAAGAGCCAAGACGGTTGAGGGCTGTGGACATTTTTCAATTTGGTTCTGAACAGGAGAACCTTTAAGCATGTCTCTCTCCTCAGTAAAAGAACTCCCACCCAAGGAGCCTGGCAGGACCCTGGAGCCCCAGGACCTGGCCCGGATAGCTGGGAAAGGTGAGAATGGTTTATTCCTCTGGCGCCTAATGCTTTTTTGTTTGGGAGAGCATTTCAGTTAAAGTTCGTTGGCAATTGGAAACAGTTTCTATCAGCCCTTTGACCCTAATTCCTGTTGGAGTTCTCAAGAGCTCTTGTGTTTTTCCTTGGTTTCTTGTTCTCTGGGTTACTAGTCCTGTGAAAAGAATGCATGTTCTATTTTTTGTTGTTGTTGTTCATGAGGCTTGAACTCACTGTCCCTGAGCTTTTCTGCTAAAGGCTCGTGCTCTACCACTTTGAGCCACAACTCCACTTGTGGTTTTTTGGTGGCTAATTGGAGATAAGAGTCTCACAGACGGAAGTGGCGCTGTAGCTCAAGGGGTAGAGCACTCGCCTTGAGCTGAAGAGCTGAGGGACAGTGCCCAGGCTCAGAGTTCAAGCCCCACGACCGACAAAAAAAAAAAAAAAAAGAGTCTCACAGACTCTTGCTCAGACTGGTTTTGAACTGTGATACTCAGAATCTTTGCTTCCTGAATAACTAGGATTACAGGCATGAGCCACCAGAGCCTGGTTGTGATGTATGTATGTATGTATGTATATATGTATGTATGTATGTATGTACATATATATGTATTTTCTTCTTTTTCTCCTAGTCTCTGGCCTTCAAAATGAACAGAAACGATTTCAACTGGAAGAACTAAGGAAGTTTGGGGCCCAGTTCAAGGTGAGCATGGCATGGAAAAGAGCTGGGCTTGGCAGTATGCAGTAGTGTGAGAACTGCATCAGAGGCAAAGTGCCCAGTGGGTGGAAAAGAAAAAGAAGAGCTCAAACTAGGAGGACCTGGAGGAGGCAGGGCCTGGGGTCAACTGGACAGTACTCGATGTGTATGTGTCCTCCTCCTTCCAGCTGCAGCCCCCCAGCTCCCCTGAGACCAGCCTGGATCCTTTTTCTCCCCGGATCTTAAAGGAGGAGGCCAAAGGGAAGGAGAAGGAGGTCGATGGTCTATTAACTTCAGAGTCCATGGGGTCTCCAGTCTCCTCGAAGACAGAGTCCGTATCGGATAAAGAAGACAAAGCACCTCTAGCATCAGCAGGAGGCGCTGAGGGTTCGGAGCAGCCTCCACCACCTTGCCCGAGCCAGACTGGCAGCCCCCCAGTGGGCCTTATCAAGGGAGATGACAAAGATGAGGGCCCTGTTGCTGAGTGAGTGCAGTGGGGGCTGGTGGGGGCTGGGTGGTGAAGGGCAGACCATGAAACTGATGACATTTTCTCTTATAGACAAGTAAAGAAATCAACGTTGAACCCCAACGCCAAGGAGTTTAACCCCACAAAGCCTCTATTATCTGTGGTGAGATAGGAGACATGGGAGAGGTGGGGCGGGAGGGCAGCAGAGGGGAAGCACTCGCTGCCATTGTGCTGGGCTTGCCAGGTGCTGCGTAGGAGCCACTGTGTATGTGTAGGAAGAGAGGGTAGCAGGGGCTTGGATTGATGAGGAAGAAAGATCTCCAGCACTGGTCATTAAGGGGTCCTGATGAGTCTGGCAGCTATTGGTGGGTTTCTGTTCCTGGTATTTGGCCCATGAAACATTGGATTGAGGTCATTTGGTGCAACGGCTTTACTTAAGCCAGCTGACATGCCTACATGACAAGTCGCACAGTCTCTCTTCCTGTTTCCTCAGGGTCTAATGTGAGGCTTAATTAAGAATGTGCAGGACACACGTGGCACACAGCACTGTTAGATAGGCAGGGCTGAGCTGGGCATGTGGGAGTAAAATGTCCTAACTTGTCTCTTACAGAACAAATCTACCAGTACTCCAACTTCTCCAGGGCCTCGCACTCACTCAACTCCCTCCATCCCGGTGCTGACAGCAGGCCAGAGTGGGCTCTACAGCCCACAGTACATCTCCTACATACCTCAGATCCATATGGGACCAGCTGTGCAGGTAGGAGAGATGAGGTTGGCCCAGGGGACTGGTTTCTGAGAGACTGGCTCAGGCCCATTATGGATGTGTGTGTGAGCATGCCCTTCATTTAGCCTCGTCTCTTCTCGTCCCTAGGCACCTCAGATGTATCCGTATCCTGTATCCAATTCAGTGCCTGGGCAGCAGGGCAAGTACCGGGGTGCAAAAGGTGAGCAGGGTCAGGAGGGACAGCCAGTGGGACAGCCTGATAGCTTCTGGCCGATGGAGCTTGAGCTCTGCTCTATTTGCTTCCCCTGTGCAGGCTCTCTCCCCCCTCAGCGCTCGGACCAACACCAGCCAGCCTCAGCCCCTCCCATGATGCAGGCGGCCGCTGCTGCTGGCCCACCCTTGGTGGCTGCCACACCTTACTCTTCCTACATCCCTTACAATCCGCAGCAGTTCCCCGGCCAGCCTGCAATGATGCAGCCTATGGCCCACTACCCCTCACAGGTGACTGGGGCACAGGAGGAAAAGAGGAGAGAAGGCAGTGAGCTCTGGGTGGTAGTGGCTAGCTGGGCAGTTGGCTCTGGTGGGGTTTTCGTGTCTGTTGCAAAGCATTATTGTCATCCTGCATCTTAAATGTAAAGTGACATTTGCATGGCAGAGTTAATGTGAATTTTAGATGAGTAGAGGGAACTGCTGAGCCCCAAGTGGTGCTGGGCACATGGTCACTGAGCAAGTGCTGAGTGCTCTTGTTCTTCGTCCTGCCAGCCGGTGTTTGCCCCCATGCTTCAAAGCAACCAACGTATGCTAACGTCGGGTAGCCACCCCCCGGCCATTGTGTCATCCTCCACTCCTCAGTACCCTTCTGCAGAGCAGCCCACCCCCCAAGCCCTCTATGGTGAGTACCCCTGCCCCGCCCTGCCCTGCCCTGCCCTGCCCTAGGCTATGTTCCTCACCTCTGGTGTGCTCAGCACTCAGTCTCCCTCCTTTCCACTGCAGCCACTGTTCACCAGTCCTATCCACACCATGCCACGCAGCTCCATGCTCACCAGCCGCAGCCGGCCACCACGCCTACTGGGAGCCAGCCGCAGTCCCAGCATGCGGCCCCCAGTCCCGTCCAGGTGCCTGCTGTCAGGGGGTTTGAGTAGTTGGGGCAGAAATGGGTGGCTGGAAGAGAGTGGAGCAGGGTGATTCTCTGGGAGACAGGGTCAGCCAGAGTGTGTGGTACTCATGTTACCTACTCTGTCTTGACAGCATCAGGCGGGACAGGCCCCACACCTGGGCAGTGGACAGCCACAGCAGAATCTGTACCACCCCGGGGCCCTGACAGGCACGCCACCATCTCTGCCACCGGGACCTTCTGCCCAGTCCCCTCAGAGCAGCTTCCCCCAGCCAGCCGCTGTATATGCCATCCATCCCCACCAGCAGCTGCCCCACGGCTTCACCAACATGGCCCATGTTACCCAGGTAAGAGCCAGGGGACGGCTGCTTCTGGGTCTTTGTCCAAGTGGCTGCATACCCTTGCAGGAGTGCTGCCCACGAGGCTTCCTAGTGCTCCTTGCTGTCCTCTCTCCTCTGCAGGCCCATGTCCAAACTGGAGTCACAGCAGCCCCGCCCCCACACCCTGGGGCTCCCCACCCGCCCCAGGTGATGCTGCTGCACCCCACCCAGGGCCATGGGGGGCCCCCCCAAGGCGCAGTACCCCCGAGTGGGGTACCTGCACTCTCAGCTTCCACACCCTCACCCTATCCCTACATCGGACACCCCCAAGGTGAGCAGCCTGGCCAGGCGCCTGGATTTCCAGGAGGAGCCGATGACAGGATTCGTGAGTTCTCGTTAGCTGGGGGAATTTGGCATGGAAGAGCTGAGGGGCTGCAGGTGGGGCAGGATGCACGGGTTCTGGGTGGGGAGTGAGGGGTCTTGGAGGCAGGGCTGTCCCACAGGGCGCCCGCCGACCTGCACCTGTCTGTGAAGTATGTAGGGTGGGCAGAAGCCACAGTCGCCGCCGCCAGGGGCTTGCTCCTGGCTCTGTCCTTTGCTTCCCTCCGTCCTCGCTCAGTTGTGATCCAGCAGCCCCCCTCCCCACTGCCTCCCCAGCTCTCAGTGACCCCGACTGTCTCCTGACTTAGCCGAGGTAAGGTCAGCGCAGCAGACAGGGCCAGACTGGGGTGTGGGGGGCTGAGCTGGGCACACGAGTAAGGGCTCTGGCTTACTGGGAAACAGCGATTGACCTGTGCTTCTGACCAGCCCCATGAGACACCTTAAGGAGGCCGCTCCTCCCCACTCCTCCCCAGCCCCCCGGACGCATTGATGGAGGGACAGCTGCTCGGGTTCTAATGCTCCTGCTCTCTTCTCTTTCCCCTCCAACCAGTTCAATCTCATCCCTCCCAGCAGCTCCCCTTCCACCCCCCGGGGAACTGAAGATTGTCCTGGCCGCGACCTGAGACCTCCATGAGCGGAGGGAAGAGTGATCTATGTCTCTTCCCCCAGCAGCTCGGACCAGTCCCAGCCCCCCACCCCACCCCCCCAAATTCCCCTTTCCCCAGGGGAGCTGGGGAATTCCTGCCAAGCACCTTGAATGGGAGAGACCTTGAAGTGGGCAAGGCCAGGGTCCCGCAGGGGTGGGGGAGGTTCCTGCTCTGCCCCTGCCAGTTCCCACCTAACCTTGCCCTCCCATCTTTTCATCTATTCCCCCCGCTGGAGACGGAAGATCTTTTATTTTCTATTATTTATAACTACAAACTTGGGCCCCTCTGTTCTTTTCTTCCCCATTAACTTGAGACCTGCGTGAGAGACAGACAGATGCCCCACAAGGATGGTTGGACAAGGACTTTTACTTTTTATTACATAAAAATATTAAAAAAAAATAAAAAAAATAAAATTTTAAACTAACTTAACCTGCCTGTAGTTGCTGTTTGTAGACAACCATATGGCTGTAATTGTCAACTGTGATCTTAGGATTACATTTCTTTTCACTTGTTCTTCTCTTCCCTGTAAAACTAGTGTTTTTTGTAGGTCTAGGATGAGGGAACCAAAAGGAAAGCGACATAAATTCCGACCTGAGCGCTGGCTCACTGGGAGGCAGGTATGTAAGAGCACTTCTGGAGTTAGGACCACCTCTGCTGACTTTGTGACATTGGAAGTAGTTTTTACTGTAGCTTTAGAGGTCATGGATGTGGAGACAATGTGGGAAAGTAAAGCTGCCAGTGGAGTGTGGAGTAAGGGGACCAGAGTTAGGAGGAGTGGGAGCTAAGTTGGAGGCCTAAATTTTTTTTTTTTTTTTTTTTTTTGCTAGTCCTGGGGCTTGAACTCCGGCTGGTCGCTGTCCCTGAGCTGCTTTCGTTCAAAACTAGTGTTCTACCATTTGAGCCACAGCACCACTTTGGGCTTTTTCTATGTGTGGTACTGAAGAATCAAACCCAGGGCCTCATGTGTGCTAGGCAAGCACTCTTGGCACTAAGCTACATTCCCATCCAGGGGCCTACAATATTGAAGCATAGGTTTCTGAGACGATTACCTCGCTTGTGTAGCTACACAGGTGATTTTTTTGTTTTTTGGTTGGTTGTGGGGCTTGAACTCTGGGCTTGGGCGCTGTCCCTGCGCTCTTCAGCTCAAGGCAAGCGCTCTACTGCTTGAGCCCCACAGCACCACTTCTGGTTTTCTAGTGGTTTATTGGCGATGAGGCTCACAGACTTTCCTGCCCAGGCTGGCTTTGAACCGTGATCTTCAGATCTCAGCCTCCTGAGTAGCTAGAATTACAAGCGAGAGCCACTGGCGCCTGGCTTACACAGGTGTTTTTGTTAGTTGTGGGGCTTGAACTCAGCTTGGGCACTGTCCCTGCTCTCTTCAGCTCAAGGCGAGCACTCTACCACTTGAGCCACAGCACCACATCCAGTTTTCTAGTGGTTTATTGGAGATAAGAGTCTCATGGACTTCCTGCCCAGGCTGGCTTTGAACCAAGATCTTCAGATCTCAGTCTCTTGAGTAGCTAGGATTATAGGCGTGAGCCACTGGCACCTGGCTACACCGGTGTTTTCAAGGGACAGGGGAATGTTCCTGGCTTGCTTATCCAGTAACATGAAAAGTGGGGCTGCTAAGGTATTTTCTTCTGGACCCATAGTCTGAGGGTGGACAGAAGGGTTCCTTAATTGGGGAAGAATTTCCAGGATGTGAAGCAGGCATGTGGTCAGTTTATTAAGTGAAGGGGCTTTATGTGGGCGGGGTTGTAGTAAAAATACTTGATGGGGCTGGAGAGATTCCCAAGCGGGAGCTGCAGATGAAGGTGCCTGTAGGTGCTGCTGAGTAGTTCATCACTTTGGGGCAGGATCTCAAGTTGGAGGGAAATTTAGCCTTTACCTAAAGTCAGGAATCTTCCCCATGAAACTTTTCATTTTTGCCTTGACCACTTAGGAAGGTAAACCAAACCTGCCTTGCCATTGGGTGGCACTTTCTTCAGGTTCTCATATGCACCTTTTCTGGGTTCTACTGGAGAGTCGAATGGGGTTTTGTTTCGTAAAACAGCTCTCGGGCAGTTCTGGGTATGCCAGGACGCAGTCTCAAGGGCCACCCACTAATTCTTTGCTGAGTTGCCCTTGTTTATACTCGGCTTGCTTGTCTAGGTTCCTGTCTCAATATTTCACTCCCTGCATATTTGATAGTCTTTTTCTCAATCTCAGTAGATGCTGAGAAAAATAGAACTTTCTCCCTCCCGCCCGCCCCCCATGCTGAGGATGAAGCCTCAGGCACACAGCCTGCACCACAGCTGCGCTATACTACAACCCTGCCTTGAACCCAGCTGCCCTTATTCCTGTGCTTAGAAACGTGGCAATCACTTGTCAAGTCCACATTAGCACAACTCGATGGCTGAAGGTGTGCGAGCAAGTACTTGGGTGCCGAGTTAGGAAATGAGCAAGGATCTAGACATGAACTAGTAGGGACTACTGGAGAGGAGAAATGAGTAGTTATATTGCTGCTGTAACTGTTGTTGGTTGTGGGGCCTGAACTCGGCCTGGGCGCTGTCCCTCTGCTCTTCAGCTCAAGACTAACGCTCTACCACTTGAGCCACAGCCCCACTTCCAGCTTTTTCTGCTTAAGTGGTGCTGAAGAATTGAACCCAGGGCCTCATGCATTCAAGGCAAGCATCTACCACTGAGCCACCTTCCCAGCCCCTGCTATAACTTTTTTAAAATTTCTTATCTTTTGTCAGTCATGGGAGCTGAACTCTGCCTGGGTGCTGTCCCTCAGCTCTTCAGCTCAAGGCCAGCATTCTACCACTAGAGCCACAGCACCATTTCTGGCTTTTTCCTACTTACGTGGTGCTGAAGAATCGAACCCAGGACCTTATCCATGTGAGGCAAGCACCCTACCACTGAGCCACCTTCCCAGCCCCTGCTGTAACATTTTGTGAGGCAATCACACATAACTACTGGACTAGGCTCCTTCACGCTGTCCCTGCATTGAGGGTAGCAGAGAACAAACGTTTTCAGCCTGTACCACAAATGGATTGCTGGGTGCTAGTGGTTCACACCTGGAAGCTACTCAGGAGGCTGAGATCTGAGGAGTTAAAGCCAGCCTGGGCAGGAAAATCCATGAGACTTCTCTCCAATTAACCACCAGAAAATCGTAAGTGGCGCTGTGGTAGAGCGCTCGCCTTGAGCTGAAGAGCCAAGGGACAGCACCCTGGCTGAGTAAAACGCCATGACCCACAAATAAGTAAGTAAATTCCATTACCACGGTTTGAGGTTCTCACCAGCTCTATTCTGTCCAATTTACACAAAGGACACAAGACAACAACCAGCTTACTATTCACAGAACAGTTTATTGGCCCACCTCCCGTGGCAGGCCACCCCTTGTGACCAGGGGAAGTGTCCGTCTAGCTGCACTCTGAGGTTGCAGCCCATGCCACATGGGCATCGGAAAAGGGAGAAACTGGCCAGGGTTGCCTAAACTCAAGCAGCCTGAGCACAAGTCCAGCCTCAACTCCACTTGATGCTCTTGTCTTCATCGGTCATAGGTTTTGTTTCAGTGACAAGGCCAGTGCCAATAGTCTTGTTGCCATCCCGGAGGGTGAAACGCTGGCCTTTCTCCAAGATCATGGGCTGACGCAAGATTAGAGTGAGCTTCAGGTCCTCTCCAGGCATGGCAAGCTCCTGGAGGGGAGAGAAGACCCAGCACAACCATCAGGTGCTAGCATTCTACCCAGATGCCATGAGCCAAGGGAAAAGGAAAATGCAGCAGGGTGTTGATTCTGTCTGGGGACAGCATCATCCACCCCAGCCACCAGGTACGTGCAGACAGCACATTCAAAGAATGGGAACACTGGGTTGGGAGACTGGGTCTTTATCCAGCATGCACTAGGCACAAATGAGGGGTGGGAGGCTTAGCTATACCAGTATTTTTCTGTAGAAATATTCCTTAGGAAAGTTTGGATATGAAAGTGATGAGTTTCCGTTGAGTTTCACTGAACATGATGAAGATTCAGAAGTTGGCCTAAAATTTCTCTCAAGCTTTCCACAAGAATGTATCTTAGGAGCACTAATCACTGTTCCATTCCTTTTTTTTTTTTTTTTTTGTACTGGGGATCAAACCCAAGACGTTGTACTTGGCAGGCAAGTGCTTTACCACTAAGCTAGATCCCAACCCAGTGTCAAAAGCCTGCCTTCTACCAAGTCTACCTCCACTGGTAGCAGCTAGCCTCTCCTCACTCAAGGAGAGAACGAACCACTTGGGAGATAACATCTTTGGGTTGAGCTCCTCCAGAGAACACGTCTCTGCCCCTTCACTTTCCCTAAACCCATCATACCTTCCCAGGAGGCAAGATGACACGACAGGCCATGTCCCAAGTCAGGGAGAACATGACAGGCATGAAGTGGGACACAAAGGGCTTGTGGCGGCCACCTTCCTCCTTGTTGAGGATGTACACCTGGAGGAGAGGACCAATGAGAGAAGAGCAGAGCTTGGCTCGAAGCCCTCCCTGGAAGACAGCCAGGCTCAGCCCTCCCCATCAGCCTCCGAAGCCCTCACCTGTGCCTCCACCTTCTGGTGGGGCTGGATGGAACCTGGCTTGACCATTACCAGGCCACGCCTCAGATCCTCTCGCTTCAACCCTCGGACCAGGGCCCCAAGGTTATCCCCTGCCTCTGCCCTCTCCAGGCTCTTGTGGAACATCTCGATGCCTATGAAGGGAGAGAAAGAGGAAGGAGACATGAAGTGGAGGCAGAGGGAAGGCACAAGGATCGACACGGGGAAAGGTCATCCTGAAGCCAGCCTCTGGGTCCCAAGGCTTCCTATACCTGTCACCACAGTACGAATGTTCTTGCTGTGTCCCAGGAGCTCACATTCATCTCCCTTCTTCAAAATGCCACGCTCCAATGTACCTGTCACCACTGTGCCCCGGCCTGCAAGGAAGGAAGCAGGACAGGACACTAAGAATCCTGCCTAGGCTGTGCTATGGGGAGAGATGAGAAGAAGCAGTTCTCACCAGGGATAGAGTAAACAGATTCCACAGGCAACAGGAAAGGCTTCTCTAGGTCCCGGGTGGGCACTGGGATGTAAGTGTCCACAGCATCCAGCAGCTTCTGCACGGACTTCACTCCTAGCTCAGGGTCACGTTGCTGTTGGGAGAAAACGTCAGGACTCTGAAATCTCCATTGTGCTCCTCTCACTGAAAGCTAATGTGCAGACACGAACCACAGCTGTGGATGCCCATCTGCCCTCCCACTGTTAGCAGCAGTCCTGCCAACTTTGCCTTCACCTCAAGGGCACAGAGAGCAGAGCCTACGATGACTGGAGTCTCTTCCCCTTTGTAGCCAAACTCGGTGAGCAGTTCCCGGATCTCCAGCTCCACAAGCTCCACCATCTCAGAGTCCTGCACTGCATCTGCCTTGTTGACGTACAC